TGTTCCCATCAAATGTAGCCTATTTTTATTTTTTTTCATTCTGCAAATATATTCTAATACGTTTTAGTTTTCCTGTTTTAGGTGATATACAGTTATGTATGTTGTAATTACCACTACCAGCTAAATGTGCTTAAACTTATATTTTGGTCTGAGTTGTTTCCTTCGGAACATATTATTCCAAATAGGATCCATTTATCCCTCATAAATATTGTAATAAGGGATTATTTTCCGCATGGGAACCGGTTGAAAACTGCAGAATATTTTTCCGCTGAAATCACAGTGGTGGTATTTCAACCTTTTTATGGCCACAATGTGGAGAAAAACACTTTGATTTTCTCTAAATGGCATTTTTATATGTATAAGTGACATATTTTGCTCATGTTTTACAAATACAGTCTACAGACGAAACTCGGGTCTGTCTGTTGTAACGTTAGCGAAGTACGACTGTGATCTCCATTTTAATAGTCTAATGTTTTCGCAAATACAGAAACAGGAATGTTATATTTACTTCGTACGCCAGTAGGTCCGGATCACCGTGATCTTCGTAAACAATAGTCAGGAATGGAAATGCAGGAAAATGCAGGAATGTTTCTTTGTATTAAAAGAAATAATTTTGTTTACGTATTTATAGAAATATAACGACCTATGTACAACTCGTAATACTAGATTGAACAAATACCGGAAACGGAATTTTGATGTACAGTGAGGTATGGAATGAAGGGATTTAAAACAGGCAAGAGGGGAAATATATCCGGAAAGGTCGGGAAGGAAATAGGAAGAACTAGTCCAGCAATAGACATGGAAAACAACAAAAATAAATAAAGAATTGTTATCGAAGTCTGTTTTCTATTCTTGATTGATTACGCTTCGGTGTTCAAACTTATTTAAATCAGCAACATAGCTGCCTTCAACCAGTTTTGTTTTGTTCCCACCACTAACTCTACACCGGACCCATCGCCCTCGGTTTTATTAAACTTGCCTCCCTAACAATACAAGCCAACACACTAATCTCCGTTCCAACCCGTCTGCCTTCGAACAACCAGTCTTTAGAGATCATTAATGTGCATGAATTCAACCTTAGAATGAAAGTTGATACAAATATCTCGTACGTTTGAACAAGAGTTATGACATACGTCAAGCATTGGTGGCACAAAGTTTATCATCAGCATTTAAGCTACCAATTACAGGATTTGGATTTAATAATAAAGTGTTAAGAAATAATGTCAAAATAAAGATTTTGCGCAATAGACTCGGAGAGATATATATATGCAAAATCAAGAAATACATTGGAAGCGTGATCCATTTTGTTGCTTCCGGAAAGAATATACAGAAATGTTTCTTTGTATTAGAAGAACTAATTTTGTTTCCGTATTTATAGAAATATAATGACCTATGTACAACTCGTAATACTAGATTGAACGAATACCGGAAACGGAATTTTGATGTACAGTGAGGTATGGAATGAAGGGATTTAAAATAGGCAAGAGGAGAAATATATCCGGAAAGGAAATAGGAAGAACTAGCCCAGCAATAGACATGGAAAACAACAAAAATAAATAAAGAATTGTTATCGAAGTCTGTTTTTTATTCTTGATTGATTACGCTTCGGTGCTCAAACTTATTTGAATCAGCAACATAGCTCCTTCAACCAGTTTTGTTTTATTCCTATCACTAATTCTACACCGGACCCATCGCCCTCGGTTTTATTAAACTTGCCTCTCTAACAACATAAGCCAAGTCGCTGATCTCCATTCCAACCCGTCTGCCTTCGAACAACCAGTCTTTAGAGATCATTAATGTGTATGCGCTCACTTCCTTCCGCCTGGAAACGACCTTTCTAATAAATTTTATCAAGCTATTCTAGACATTCTTCAGCTCATCGCCACTCATTCCATTCCTTCAGACAACCAACACGCTGCCTCAAATATAGCCTACCAATCTCTAAGCCTACCAATCGCTAAGCCTAATAAACTTATTCTCCACTCAACATCGTTCACCTGGTCTTTCCGTCTAGCCCAGGGATGTGCACGGTTTTTAAACCAGGGCCAATACTTTTGCCCACTTGCGGGCCGTGAAAGTGTGACGTAAAAAGATGCATTTCATGATCAATATTTACAGTATTACAAAGCAAAAGTGGAAAACAATACGCCTCGTGCCAAAACTAAATTTAACCACAATCTTTACAAATTCCATGAGGCAGTTTTAGCTAAAACATCAAAATTTGATTTCAGTTCGGTTGTGGCAGCATCGGGCGGGCCAGATTGAATTACCCAGCGGGCCAGACTTGGCCAGCGGGCCGTACTTTGTCCATGTCTGGTCTAGCCTGTCTTTATAAACCATCTCTGTACCCTACCTTCAATATCATTCCTGAATACATTACTAAATCTATCAAACTTACCCATCACGCGCCTCGTCAGCATACCTCAAGTTTTTCCTATTTTCTCAGCCTTTCGAAATCATTCCCAAATCGCGATAACTTCAAGATGAACGATCACATACAGCTAACATACGCTGAACCTAAATGGATGTGGTACAGCTAGGTTGTTAGATTCGAACAAAAAATATTACAGATTGGTGTTTATTGAAGACAACTGGACGCATGAAATATCAAAAGTAGCAGCCAGTCAGAGCTTATAGGACAAAGAAGAGAGCGAAATATTATTTCCTCACACGCATCTCGTGGGTGAACCGAGTCTCATAATGCAAATCGGGATGTCAGCACAACAGCCAGGCGCTTCAGAATAGAAAAATAGTGAGTTTCAATCGTAAAAATTCTTTTCTTGACCTTCAATTTGTTCATTCCCATGTAAAAATAGCATCCATGATGTAAGGGGCATCATTATAATTCGCACGAAATCGAATATTATACTGTAGTTTGATACATTTCATGTGTGGCACTTACTACCAGTAGAGTTTACCGAAGTTCTCTTGTCAAGCGACATTTATTTGAAAATTTATTTTAATTCAGCTTCCAAAACGTCTATATTTGAAATATTTTGTGCACATTTTATCTTTTTTTTTTTTCAAATTAGACTAACGTAACATCGTCGAATCAACGTTCAATGATAATTATACATCTAGATTCTAGAAGGTCAACTAAAGTTGAATTTTCAGAAATATATTAAGGCAATCGAAATATAAATGCCAAGTTCCTTCGTGAGATAAATTAATGTTAAAAAATATAAAACTGTTACCAAAATTTCCAGATAAACAAATGATACAAAATTATATGATAATTTTGATTAGTTTCTTTTCGAAATGAAATAAAAACAGATATACCAGAATTGTAACTATTTACAGAGTTAATTTGAATCTAATTAGAGATTTGTTTAGGTAAGGCGTCGTTTCTAAAGTAATCATTCACGGCACCGAGGATACGCCGCCAGACACGCGATAGCTCGAGGCAATTAATTGTTAGTTTGAAGGTTACTTACCTTTAAACATTTCATTTGTAAGTCGAATACTAGATTCTGGAATTTAGCAGACAAGTGAATAGGAAGAAAGTTCGGGCGGTCATTGTTTCATTGAAATATTATGGGCGTTTATGGAAGGATGCAGTAAAGGCAGCGATATGGTAGTATAACACAGAATATTTTAAAAATAAGTCATTTACCAGACAGTTGAAACAATGTAAATGATGATGGCAATCAACGAGGAATCTTATAGTCCTGGTCCTAGTTATGCAGGAACATAAAATCATGACAATACTGTAATGATCATCAGTAGAGGTTACGCGAGACTAACTCCCAATTCTTCCTTGCGCCCGCCCCCCCAATTAGGGTTGCCAACTATGAAAAGTCTCAATAAAGGACATAGATTACCGTCATCATTTATTTTGTAACTTGCAGGAAAGAACAATGAAATAGAAATTATATATATACAAGCTAAAAAAATAATTGAGAATTCTTCCTCAGTGAATTCCATACATTTTTTTTAAACTCATGTATTTACTTCCGTAAGAAGTAATTTGAAATTAATCTATACTTTTTTCGACGCCTGTTCGGTCGGCTCGCCGAGAACACACTTCGAGCGTCTAGAAGTCACGTTTAGGAACCTTCCAAACTTCTACCATTGACCAAGTATACGTAGAATTTTCAGTTGTTGAACTAGTATTTTCTCAAATCTTGGAGTGTTGCCACTTGCCATCTTCGGAAAATTAATGTAAAATATTTGAAATGTTAATAAAATTGGTATTTCTTTGGATATTTGAGCCGGACCAAAGCGAAATTAAAAAGAATATTTAAAAGCTTGCAAAAACATAAACGGATGCGATTTATAAACGGAACAATATCAAACACAGCACAATAACTATCGGGCAAACGACGTTGGAAAAAATAAAGGACAATTATCATCTCAAAAAGGACAAGGACAAAAATCTCGAATAAAGGACGGTTGGCAACCCTACTCCCAATGCCTTTGCGCAAGTGGAAATACATTTGTGTTAGTGTGCAGCAACCCTCATGAATTGCATAATAATATTAAAAAATATATATACTGTGAAATAATACTAATAAATAGTAATCTAATATAAAACCTTCATCCTAATTCGACCAATACTCTATCGGTCAAAAATTCAGGCCATCATGCCAAATTGTAAATTTCTCGCATGAAATAGGTTTTGTGGTCCGTCACATTAGAATGTCTAGAAATGAATTCAAGTTCTTTTGGTAGATTTTTACCAGGGTACAGTTAAAACATTTTTGCCTGAAGATCGATCCTCGCTCGTTAATGATTGCCGATTGAAACGTGACATAAAATAGTTCATTAGAAGTCAATGTATTCAGTAAAACAATCAATCGGTAGTTTTTGAACCAAAACAAAAAACTTTTGGCAAACAGAAATTTTTCTCGAAGGTGCAGTGACGATACACAAAGGCCAACGGAGTACGACAGCATGCATTTTTTTTTAGCTGGGACCAGGCCAGAAATTTCGAAGGAAAAGATTCCATTATCATATATATATATATCTGTAAACACAGTGAGATAATATTTGTTCGGACACAAATGCCTTTCAGTAATAATCGAAATTCGTTTTTTACGTTCATTCTAACAGATTTAGTACTTGAAAACTACCGGAAGCAATATTTCAAATTAACCCAAATGCTATACTTCACTGTAAAGAGAATGTTCCAGATACGCGGTAGGAGAAAAAATAGATATGCTGTACTAATATGTTTGTCATGCATTCTTATGTACTATTTCATAAGCCAAAGCGAAAATCAAAAAGAATCGTTTTCCATCGAATTAAAAAGCGAAAACTTGAACAGTGACTCAAACCATGTCACCCGCGAGATTTCAAAAGATGTAACATCGCCAGTTAGCGAAACTATTCATAAAAGCGGCGATGAAGAAGAAGATACAAAGAAAGAGTTTGATGAGGAACAACTCGAAGCAGAAATAGCGTTAAAAGCTGCCGAGTTGGACGTGATTGTGAAATCTTTTTACAAAGATATTTTTCGACCGAGTGACGCAAAAATAAAAATGTATAATGGACATAAAAACGATAAAGCATTCAAACAATCGCTAGTGAATGAGAGCAGAGTTGAAGATTCTCTTCCGAAAGATTTTCCTCTGTCTCCTGAAGGTATGGTTGCATTTCTTTAGACAGGTAGTTTTAAACCTGTTTGGTGGAGCTTAAACCTCATGAAACATCCCAGAGGTTCCCTGTGCAATAGTTTATTCGTCTTTAATTGTATTAGCTATGAATATATATATATCTCCAAAAGCAAACGTAATACTGGCAAGACAAAATGACCTTCGGAGTGTATTAAGTTGAAAATTAAATTATGTATTATATTCAAACAATATGCATATATTAATATGGGACTTGAACATAAACTTGCGCGTTCCCTGATTTGTACTGTCGTCTCGGAGCCGTGTAACAACCACGTGGTTGAAAACGACATTTTGATAAGTGTGTGGGTTTCAGCGTTCGAGACAACGATTTATTTTATTTTCATCAATATAATACTCAAAAACAATGGAGTGATCTTTCGTTCGCTTGTAACAGCTGAAATTATTTCACATGGTTACTGGGCGACTATTCTTATTAGCGATATTGAAAACCGTCGTTTCGTAACGATTTGACCTACCATTTTTTAAAGAATAATCGAACTTCGTTATCTGCTGTTATCAAAACTTGAATAGGTTAAGATTTCCATAATTATCTTGGGGGCCAGAGGAAAGCCGATACGACAGCTCGTCGATGTCCAGCCCATGTCGGTTTTAGGAATAGTTAACCTGTTCCTCGTTTGCAATAGCAGAAATATTTTACTGTTGCTAATAACTTAATATACTATCACTATTTTTATCGTGGATAATGCAATGTGAATAATGCGTAATTAATCGCCTCCTTTAAAGACTAATCTGATTTCAGATGCCAACTGTATTACGAGGCTTAAAAAATTACGACTTTATCAAAACCTTTTTCTCCCTTACTGATCTTCCCTGTTATGGAAAAGCATAAATGCATAATGTTTATCCGTGCTTCATAATTTAAGATGGCCGATTAAAAAAATTTGTTACTGTAAGTCAAAACGAAAGTGTCCTACTTCCCTTCACTGATTTTTTTTCTATTTATTTAGAGGCAATTCAAAGATTCGGGACTAAGTTACCTTATTGGGAAAAATATGAAATTTTAAACTATCCGGAAGTTTATTATCTTGGACTGAATGCCAATAAAACTCAATTGAATGAAAACGGTGACAACAATTTTGGATTTGATTTTGATACAAAAGTCGAAAAAGAAACCGAGGGAAATTATAACGTCAGCGGTCATTATAAAATGGTAATGAGTTTTGCAATGATTATAATATTAGGTTTTGACAACAAGAAAGATAAACGCAAAAATCCGAGCACAGCGGGGTGGGTGTAATTTTTCGATTTTGAATATATATTATGAAAGCATCAACAGATTATCAATGACTTGTAGATGCTCGAAAGGAAATATACTGTTCCGAATTCATTGTGAAAAATCATTTTTGGAAATGCAAATCAGATAATAGCATAAATTAGTTCATGTTCAATAGTAATATTTTGCATAAATTATTAGATATACGGTATATATAAATTATTTTAGGATCAAATTTGATAATGCAGGAGATTGAGGTTTATGACGCATTCAGATTTACACAGTTTCCCGAAGTTAGATGAAGCTCGTTTTGTCTGAAGTAAAAAATTTATGTGGTTAATATATTGTTTTGAACATTATTACATTGGCAAATGCCGAATTGAGACAAATTGATTCTTTTTTTTGGGTTCATATGAAGGCTCGTATATAAGAGTTGATATATTAAGGGCTATTCAGAGATTTTCATCTAAGAGCAATAAATATTTTATTTACCCATTGATTGTGATCATTTTTTTTTTTTAAATGAATTTAAATTGTTGAGTCCATGACTACCATAGAGCTCGTATTATGGCGTGAGGACTACCGCTGCATTTATTTTTGGTATATACAGGGTGTCCATAAAGTCCCTTTATAATTTTGTTATGAAGTCAGTTCTCAATCTATCTTAACCAGGTTGGTTGTTTTATCGATGAATTACCTTTGCAATTTTAAATTTTTTTTAAGACTTTATGGACACCCTATATATCTTATTGTTATACATTCAATTAAGCGACTTTCGGCATAGATATGACACTATCACTGTAGACCCCAAGACTATACACCTGGGTGGGCAATTCCATTCAAATTTGTAAATAAATATTTTTTAGGTTCCCGGCGATCACATCGGCTACCGGTATGAAATTATCAAATACATTGATACCGGTTATTATTGTGACGTCATTATTGCCAGAGATTGGTCGAATCCGACACTGAAGAACGTTGCCATCAAAATAATTCGCATTGATAATGAGTAAGTGTTTTTTATCCGTATTTTGTATAAGTTAAATGCAGGACATAAGAAGGCCGGTAAAACCTGTTAGTTACGAGCGGTGATAAGTTGTTTAGTGTCGACCAACTTTGTTTCCATGATCCGATGTGAAACTTAATAGTCGGCAACGTTTAGATCTTGCGAATCTCGGCTGGAAATTGTTCCGGTCCTAATTTAAGTTGAATACTAAAACCACGCCAATTAGAATGCATAAGTAAACATTAAGGTTAAAAAATCTCTCTACGGTTGCCCGCGGCATCTCAAAATATATAACAATGAATTAAACAATTACGTATAGCAGAACTTCAATGAACATCGAGAAATTAATATATATGTTCTTTTTTCATTATATGAACTATTTCCTATGAACTATGTTCAAATTGTAACAACATTGAATAGAACCCGTATTACAATGCATACGATATATGCTTTCGCCCCCTCGCAAGTTTCTGCATCACCTTATATACAGGCTTGGCGGTGTGGCGCATCGCGCTTAGCGTTAGGAAAAGGATTACATCGCACCTCTGATTACTCTGCGTGGGTTCGCAGGTTCCAATCCCGTGGGAGAAAATTATGTGCAAAGGAATTGCTAGACTCCTCGCCGCCGTAGGGTGGTTCGAGTAACCACTGGTCGGTTACGACTACTCCACCATTAAGTTCATGCATCTGATAACTGGCTAACTGATCCCATACCCAGCATGAACTGGTAACCGGACAAGAGGCCGTGGTTCGCCATATGATTAAACCATCTTATCGACTTTGTTCTCCTCATTTCCATTCTGCATATTGCCTAGCCATACACCAACCCCCCTGTGTTTTCAGTCACCCGTAACTCTGATATCATTACTCACTACATTTTTCAACTGGTTTTATTTGTTGTTTCACAGTATAGATTGGACTTATTGGAGAGAAGTTCAAATGTTCCAATACATCGAGTCTCATGCTTCAAATCTGGATTATTTTACGCGGATGTTGGCAACCTTCAAATTTCGTAACCATCTCTGTATGGTTCTAGAATTATTAGGGTGAGTTCTTCATTTGTCAAGAATAAAGCGAAGGAGATTTGAATATCTCACTTTCTGTATTGCTGGACTTAGCTATCCAGTCAAACTTTTCTGCCCGACACGAAAGCCATCTGCAATACGATACAACCTATAGTGTCGTCAAGATTGCTCGTCAATATCAAACAGCCCACGAAATATGTTGAATAATAATCATTTACGACCTTCCAAATCTTAATCAGATAAACCTTGGCTGCCGCTTATTTATAACCATCTTGGGTTTCCCGCGGTTTCCTTTCCCAGTAAAAGTGCTTTTCAGATTTTTACATTTGTATCGTTTATTATTTTGCTGGTTAGAGAACTCTAATATATCAACGAATGAGAAACTGAGAAGGCTTAGTCAATTTGGTTCTCAGCGCTCAGGCGATCTCGTGAAATTGTTCTATCATTACATTAATTAATGATCGGCACTTCGCTTTGATTAAACTTGTATAAAATGAAAAAAAGTAACTGTGATTTCCACGCCAAGACCATACAGATCTTCTGTTTTCTATCACAATAAAGCGATGTTTCCTAACCGGGGAGAGTTTCCCACGTGTCCCACTTGCTCCAAGGTTGTGAAAATTGTCGTATATGTGAACTACACCTGACTGAATTAAAGTATTGAAATTACTATTTATAGAAAAACATTTGTTAGTTAAAAAATTTGAATGGCGATACATGCATTAAAAAATACCGATACCGTTTTATCGACGATACCTGTCCGATCCGATATAAAAACGCCGATATTTCAATATGCCGACATTGCCGGTATTCCGATAATAATTATTTAATTAGTCATCATCTAATTGTATGGGACTGACAGGATAAGTGGGACGCGTGAGACACGGGGGAACAAGTGGGGCTTGACATTTTTAAGACACCCCAACAAAGCGATCCGATTTTAACATATCCAGCAAGCCATCACAATTATAATTTACTTTACAGGGGAAATATAGATTTGAAATATCTGAAAGGTCCCGTTAGAAACATGACATTGGCACGACGATTTGCAAGTGATGCTCTGCATGGTTTGAGTATTCTTAAAGAAATTGGTGTGGTGCACAGAGATTTTAAACCGGTAAGTTTGTTATTACAAAAGTATATTTCATTAGGATTGTATTATAAACATGATAAGTTGGTGATCTTAACTATCCTGTCGTCTCATATTGAATACCAAAGTCGCTGTGTAACGAAGTAATTACGTAACGTCGTTGTTTACGTCAAGTTGGTGCAGCGGACATGTGACGACGAAGAAAACATTGAATAAAATTGCTTATACAATTAGACTTGTGCGTCATAAATTTAATCTGATGGCACCATTCGAAAGCTATCTTAAACCTCTACAAATGTGTCACTAATGTATAAGGTTATAACGAGAAAAAATCGAAGTTTTTTTTTTTAATTTAATTTAGGAGCTATTCAGAAATTGTTCATGCTTTTCAATTATGCAACATTTTTTCTTCATTTCAGAATAACAATTAGTCTCTGAGATTGTCTTTAAAGGATGTAAAACTTGTACTAGTATAATATAAGGTTCGCGAGATATGGGTCAAGTTTATACCATTGATATTTAATCAATAACCCAGTTTTGCCAGATTAAACATGATGTTAAAACTGAGCTAGAATAGATATTTGCATAAAATAGCAATTAGGCACACTTCACTACATTGTTCTAGTGTTGAAATGTAAATAATAGAACAGTCTAATATATATTTTTCCGGGCAAAGCCAAGAACGAATTGAAGACCGAAGTGTTGAATAAATTCTCCTTCATTTTCGTAAAAATAATTGTGCCCGGTTACTCGCGACCGCTGGTGGCCACGTGGACAAGTCGGGAAACTACGTGATAAAAAGTCAAAAAGGTTGACTAATAAGCATGTCGATTGAAAACCTGATATGGAAGCCTACTCTTGGTGTCTAACGCCTTGTCAGAAATATTGCGACAATATTTTTAATTTTGCCATTTATGTTTTTAGCACAATCTGATGTATATTCATGGAAAAAACGAGAAGAGCAGCGGACAACTTATTAAAATAGGAGATTTTGGAGGAAGCTGCGTTCTGGGAAAATCAGGTTGAAAAATTCAAATGAAAAACGCTCTGTAGCTATAAAATGCAGAATAAGTGATGATAAGATCATATTTACATTTATGAAAAACGCATTTGTTTATAAACGATGTCGTTGAGACACACATATTGATAGCCAAGCTGCACCACCTATACACTGAAATATTAAACAACTCGAGTTCGATTCCGGTTTCCCCAACTTCTTCCAAGGCGTAAATCGATTGGTTATTGAAATTTTTCGTGCATTTCCTTACAAACCTAGTAGGTCTCTGCGTATTACTGTATGTTTATGTAGTGCCTAGATCGGAGAACATGAAACACCTCCCACTGTGTCATGAGGTGTAACTGACTGTCGTTACATTTCTTTGGTCACGAAGGGGACCTATAGATGGTTTTGTTATCATTTTGTTGTTGTTAGAAGTCTTTTCCCTATTCTCGATGTTAAGAATTTATTACTGGACCAAATTCTCTAGAATTTTTAGTGAATAAAAATTGTATTTGTCGCTAGAAGTCTATTAATTTTATCTATTTCAAAAAGTTCTGTAGACTATATGAGATTTATTTTTCTGTGCAATGAAGTCATCGAAATGAAAAATTACGTATTTGTGGCAATTGCGACGAGTTAGCTGCTATTCGGTGGTCAGACGTGAAGGCTACGGTAGCGGTAGTCTACTGTAAAAGATTAGATATCCGTACTACTTTGTTTTGGCCTCAGTGTTCTTATATTCGTGCTTTGATCTCTTGTAGATTTTTTGGCGTCGGTATTCTATCTCGCAAACCGGAAACATATGATATCTGATAATAAATTGAGATAATAATAGCACAAATAGGTGTTTACAACGTATTCGAGTTTGGATTAAATAGAAAACATAGATATATATATCATGAAATTCTTGATAGTTAAAATTTTAGTTTTACATTTTTGCAGCATGTGGAACTGCATCCTATATAATGACTCGAAGATACCGCGCACCGGAGGTAACCCTTGCTCTTGGACACACAACTCAGGCTGACATATTTAGCTTTGGAATTTGGTTGGCTGAAATGTACCTGGGTCATCCTCCATTCTTCGGTGAAAAAGCTTCGGAAGAACATTTTGGCGCAATGATGGCAGTAATTGGACTCCCACCTACTTATATGATTGCTAGATCTTCCGAAAAACAAATTTATTCGGGTACGTATTTCACAAAAAAAGTCGTAGAATGAGAAACTCGTTATACATAGCTATACAAATAATTTTTTCCTGAATAGACCGGCATAATATGAAAACACTAATGGAAGTAAAATTATGGCTGTTTCCGCGAATCAAAATTGCAAATGCTTAGGCAGATTATTAGGAAATAATAAAGAAATTCTTTGACTGGATTTTATTTTCCAACAGCGAACGATGCCAAGTTAGACCCATGAATCGAGTTCTGAGGTGGGCAAAGTCCGGAAAATCTTTTTTGCAAATGTTATAGAGAATGGTACTTATTTTCAAAAAAGTCAATATCATACTTTAAGTCGAATATAATATGTAAAATATCGCAAATAGATTATTAAAGACATATGAAAACATCAACTAACAAAAATTTATTCGACGAAGGTAACTAATTACCAGTTAATTGTTAATGAAACCACTGAGGCAATTGATGAACCGGAGATTAAAAAACATTTGTTATTTTAACACTCCATGGACCAGATTTTCTAAACAAAGCCTAAATAAAAATCTAAATTTTGTACGTAGTTGTGAAAATTTTTCGAAACTTTCTCCAAAAGTCGCACAAAATGCTTAAGCGGCCGAGGACTGTAGTTTCCCATCCCAGGTCTAGTCCGTTTGTTCACAATATTCGTGGACACCAAGTGCGAGCTTATAGGCGGATAACAAACTAATAATACCTAGGAATAAGAGCCCTTGATATATTTATATAGAGTATTGTTATTCATTTGTAGAAATCTCGTTCGTCCGTAATTTCCCAAGTTATGTGTCGAAGTTTAATACTATAGTCGTTGGATCGCTAATACCATTTGTCTACCTTGTAACGGCAGTAGGTAGTCCTAAATTTTGATATACTTTTTTCATGTTTTAGAGGCCATTCGCTACAAAGAACACGAACCTTTCAGTAGACCTTTAACAAAGATTCTAAAGGGAATTGATTATGTGCTATTAGACTTGATATGCAGATGTCTTGAGTAAGTTACAATATTACGACAAGTTAAGTTTTTTCTTTTGGTGAAAACATACAAATACTACCTACAAATAATTCTGAGTCAGCGTGTATTTAATATAACGCATGTGAAGAGAAAAAATAATATTGTTCAAACATAAAGGCAATGATGTTTATGGATAAAACAATGAATGGCCAAATATGCCTGCATATCTACTAGCACCAGCTAGAGCAGTAGTTCCCAACTATTTTCGATATCCCCCCTCTTTTAGACATTTGAGCTATTGAGTGTGAAGCTTAGAAATTTTGCTTCTCTCAAACCCAGCAATCTCGCTCGTTTGAAGCAACAATATAAACCACTTAAAATCAAAATATTCATACAGTATACTTAATATTTAACAGATGGGATCCTGAATTACGTATCACACCAGAAGAAGCACTTCGTCATCCTTTTATAACCGGACAATCGTCTGAGAATGAACTTGAGGAATACCCAATACTCATCCAACGATTTATAGGAAAAATATAACGTCAGAATATTCCAGTAAGAAGAGATGGCAATACTCTAGCGCGTATAGTTGGAGTAACAAGAGTCGTTCCTGAAAGCGTCGTTTTCCTGTGAATGGTCGAATGCATCTCGGAGAAATAAAGGGACGTATCATAATTATTGAATTCACTACAAACACTGCAATCATGATTGAAGTAAGATGTTGGGACAATAGGATTCTTATGTTTGTTCTATACTTTTTATAAATGACATTGTTACAACGAGACATACATTTTACGAGAAGGCATGGAAGATTGCTTTATCTCCTGGGTCAGATCTGTAAATACCATCGTCCAATGCCATCGCCACATGGTGATCTTGAGCTAAGATTTCCACCAATCAGTCCTCTGTTTTTTATCGGTCATTGGTCCTCGCTAAGTTTTTGCGTGAAAAATCGACTTTGTTAATTTTTACTTATGCAAATAAAGTAGTGAAATTGTAAACAAAAGAAGACCGAGAATTGCAAGTGTCGTTATGTAAAATCTACTGTGCAGATACTGCTAATGATTGAAACTCAATTCAAATTTTTCTTATTTTTATCCGGTAAAGGTTAAAAGCGGAAACATTGCATGTTGTTATTATGTCAAAATATTCATTATTTATGCTTATCAGTTGATTTTTAATTTGCAATTCACTGAATATATGAACATTTCGATACAATTTTTTGTCCACCCGTGGTTACCAAGCGGGGCACAATGTTATATATAAATATGAATACTCCCGAAGTATGTGAACAAAGGTGGCGGACACCGGGACGTAGTATGTGTACCAGGTTAAGGTTAGGCTATAATTTTATTCAGTTTTCCTTATTTTAGTTCTATTACGAGTTCGGGGACTAGCCAAGTGACTCCCGTAGTATTTGTACCTAAAATTATGGCCTAACCTGGTACGCATAATACGTTCCGCTGTCCGCCATCTTGGTTCACATACTTCAAAAGTATCTAAATATGTACTTGAATTTAATATTACATAATATTTGTTATTTCCTAAAATTAATAGATCGAATACGTTGAGCTTAATGTTTATTTTACATTTTTTTAAAGAAGTCTATTTCTGTTTGTACCTATTTATTATATTGCTTTGTCCATCATTTTACACCGTGTGTTTGTGCGTGTGTGAAATTTCTATCTTCAATTGTTGGATTGTTTTCAATGTAATTGAAATTGCACTTAGGCATATAGAGTTCCGTGGGTTCTGATAATTTAAACACTTGATTGCATGAAAAAGGCGGGAAACAAAAAAATGGCTAATTTTTGACTGTGAATTGATATGACAACGAGTATTTGTATGTGGAACAATCGGCAAGTAGCAGACTTTTAACACTGGGTTGAAAATAATAATATCCGACAATATAATGTTATAAATACGCGAGCTTTGTTGTTGTCGCCAATCTTAATCGACTATATCAGCCAGTGGTGGCCAACCTTTTTTCGACCGCGATCGACTAAAATTTTCGAAATAGCTCGCGATCGACTGATCGGTGATACACATAAACGAATGAATGCTGAATATGCAGATAACTACACCAGCGCATACAAAATTCGGTACCTTCGAAGTATGTGAACCAAGATGGCGGACACCGGAACGTAGTATGTGCACCAGGGCATGGTTAGGCCATAATTTCAGGTACAAATACTACAGGAGTCACTTGGCTCGTCCCCGAATTCGTAATAGAACTAAAATAAGAAAAATTGGAATAAAATTCTGGCCTAACCCTGACCTCGTACACAAACTACGCTCTGGTGTCCGCCATCTTAGATCACATACTTCGAAAATACCCAAATATCCACTGCTGCCAATAAGCTCGGTTCTGTGGGCGCATTTCTACAAAGAATATAAAAAAATTGTATTTTTTATGTTCCATTTAATTTTATAGTATATGTATAGTACCCGGACTAAATTTAAATTCACATGACATCTGACACGATCGACTACCCAAGGCGCGGCTACGTGTTGGCCATCCCTGGACTATGTAAATGTTCCCAAACTTTAATTTAAATTCCTCTCTTTGTCTATTTTGGAACTACTGTATTTATTCCTCTTTCCATATGCATAATAATACTTTCAAAGAATTTTTAGCTTGTGCTATGATCAAGTCGCATTCCCGTTTTTGAACAGTTTGAGGAGTTTATTATGTGTTTAAGTATTATAGCGATAATAAAAACCAAAGAATATAGTAATACTACAATACAGTAATACTACGGCAAAATTCCTCCCGGTCAGGAAAGGTCGCTATATTATTCTACAATATGTTTGATACCATTAGTCGTGGCAATATTTTCAATCATCCATATACGTAATACTATTTATTCCGTCCAAAACAATTTTAGTTGACATTGTAAATAATATTTATATCGGGAGTGTTTTGATTATTTTATATTCGATACTTTGTTCAGGATTTCAGTTCCCCCGCCCGCAGTTTCGTTAAATATTTACTTTTGATAAGTTATGGTGATTTCCAAACAATGACGGATTTATAGTCAGAGCTTATTCAGTTATCCGTGAGGCTAACTACTGCTGAACTAAACTCAGCTGTATTGCAATTGCAGTTAGCGAATTCATTTATCAGAAAATATGAAATTTTGTAATTGTTAGAGGTGGATAATAATAATTTATGTATATATATATATATATACCATGAATTCATACTCTCTTGAGTATCTCGAAATCGCGTATTGTATGTATCGTTAAGTCAAGAATATTCTGAAAGTTGAGTACTTGTTTATTTGACTGTTTAGGTTAAAAGACGAAACCGTTCCATAAATCTAGACTTGAGTCGTTGTAATATTGAAAGTTAAAAACAAAATGGCGGGAACTGGTTTACTGAACTGAATTGCAGTTGTCTCAGAAAGGTAATTTCACAACTGTGGATGGTCCGTTGAAGTTGAAATATAGGTTTGAAGTGTTTTTCGCGAACGATATTTATAAAAACTGCTCTAAATATAAAACGCAGTTCATTGGTCGACTTCAAAAAACAGTAACTTGCCTTGTCTCGAGTGATTTCGATATATTCTTCCGTATTTCCACAAATAATATGATTTCCAAGAAATTGCTTTACCACGTTTTTGTTCATATTTGTTCAAGGATGATCAGTTATTACTTATAAGTCACACCTATGCAAACTTTGTCTGCGTGACAGAACAAACAAAGGTTTCTAAAGCAGGTAAAGGTTAGGGTCAACATACACAGGGAAGCATGCTGAATAAGAGAATTATAATCTCATTGAGATCAATATCGTTATTTCTGAGTTAGACTGTAAGCGAAAGTGGCCTTAAATGATAATTTTAGTGGTAGCGCGAGGTTATGTTATAAATCATATTACTATAGGAGATCTACTGCGAAGAAAAATGGGGCTCCAGAAGTGTGTGTACCAATATGGAGGTAACTAATTTTATTCGCCCACTTTACATCAAGTTGTGTAAAGGGACTGAAACCTATGGCCAGGGGGTATATTCACTTGGCTAACACAGGCAGTCCCGAACTCGGAATTGAAATAAATAAAAATAAGGGAACTCGAAATAGAATTATGGCCTAACTATAACGGGAGTACCGGAAAATGTGTGTCACTACGCCGAATGCATGTGGCAGATAGTTAATTAAGCTATAGGTCTTAGATCATTGGTTTCAACTAGAGTTTTCCAAAACGCTAGGATACAGCAAGTACAGTCCACAAGTTTATATTTTTATCCGAGAGGCTTCATTTTTATAATGTATATTTTAAATTTAATCAAATGAACGGCTATAATATAATTTGGAGGGAATTCCACTCTGATAGTGTTATATTTTTCGATCAGCCTTCAACCACATTACGGCACTTTTACGCTGCCCCATTGTTATTTCAGATATCTAGGTTTTTATTTTAAGTCTGAAAAATTTTGTTTTCTCAACTGCTTCGTAGGCGAGAAACTAATAAAATGCAAAGTAGCATCTAGTTCTCGTATAACTCTTAAAACAGTCTGCAGATGCACTTCCGATGAGACAAGATGTCGCGAGAAATGAACAGATTAATTGCATGGTTAAGTCATAGCCAATAGATGAATAACGCTAAACAGTGGTGCGGACATGCGTCAAAGTTTAGGGGTTTTGGAAATTACCATACCGGGCCAAAAATTAACAATTTGAAGATGAACGATCGCAGCTCTGACTGCCCAACTGACGGTATATTATAATAGTTTAGTTATTGTTGGATTATCAAAGGCCGGTTTTAACAATTTTTATCACTGTTATGTTAGCATTTTATTTTTCGCCATCCCCGATATAAATTATAGACAGGTAAAAATAACGATGTTTAGGTTAGGTTGTTTTGTTTTAAACAAAAAAACATTCAGTTGATTTTCTAGTTGGTACATTCGATTGTTTTTTTTATTGAAGTGTTGCTCAGTAGTAATTGTATATATGGGAAATATGGAAAGTAGAAACTTGATAACATTTATGTGTGGTGATTAGTAACTATTTTGGTCTCAATTTTCACACGATGCATGAACAAAGTGTCATGATACAATAATTTTAAACAAATTGATACAAATATCTATGAGACAGTGAACTGAAAATACGATGTTTTTGACAATACACTATAAAATCGAAAGACTTTCGACGACCGAAAGAAGATAACAATAGTTTAACATCGTATTAAGAAGACAGGGGGCAAATTGTGAAAAGTTATTATAGACATAAAAATAGTGCACAGACAGGATTTCCTTCCAAAAAGTCATAAAAGTTCATTCAATGGATACAGTAATATTTGTCTTTGTTCAATCACGAGTAATCCTTTTTAGTTAATGTACATAGACTGAACTTACATGTCTAACAGAAGTAAAGAGAGTCATTTTTTTCATGTTCAGAATGTGATACAAGAAATATTAGAAAAAGTATAATATGAATGAGAATAGAATAGTTTATTTCAGATACTAGATTTGTCACATTGTTTTGCACCATGAACGATGCAGAAATATTTTAACAGAGTAATGAATACGGTACAACTTGAAATCTTCAAGTTGGCCTGAGATGACCGTAATACAATTGGCAAAACATACCATATGAATTCAAGTTCTACGATTTTTTACAATGTAAGACAAGGTTCAGAAGAAAAATACTTGCATGAGGAAACCGCGCCAATAACGGGTCCCTTTTCTGAACACACCCCCTGATGGATTATTCGAAACCGATTGCTGCTGCATAAAGAAGAAACTTACTCCGCATCCGAAAATCGTATAAACATTTCGAGTGTTTTAAATATCTTTCCAAGCCAAGGTGCACCATGTGAGCGGTAATTTCGGGTGTAACTTAATGGAAACTCAATTTAAAAAAAATTAGTTTTACCTATATTCATCCAGACGGACATCCCCGTCCCATAGCGAGGACTTATTTTGTTTTGTCAAAACGTTACAAGCAGACGTAATCGGATTATTATTGGGAGACTGCACAGAATTAAAAGCATTTCTTGCTCAACTAGATCACAGTATATGTGATAATATATATATATTTTACCGCTAGAACACAGATACTAAAATTATTTAATTCCTATAGTTAAATTTATCTAGTGATTTGGAATTTTACAAAGAGAATGAAAATATGACATTAACAAAGCACTCGTTTGCTGGAAGATCAGCGATTTCATTGGTGTATGCTTCCCTCTGCATTGGATTATCATCATGTGATCCTCTCGGTAAATATCCCTTATATTGTCTTTCCAATTTAAAATTGATTTATTTGTGCACAGTCTAAGCAAAAAAACCCTGAATATGATATGACACCAAAAGAAAATTTCTAAAAGAAAATTTCCAGAATGATATATTAGAAAATTACAATTGTGTTTTAATTTAATGAGTGATAATTTGCAAAACACGCCACTCCTTATGCTGTATGAATCTTCATAAAAGTCGCCACTCATGCGAGCAGGGTTACTGATAATATGCTATGACACGCTATACATGTCAATGTTTTACATAACATGCTAGACTTAATGGATCGAATATTAATCATGCAGCGCTTGTGTCAGAAGCACGAATGATCGCACGGCTGTGTTAACAGTGGCACTAAATGCAATAAATAGCAAATAAAAATCCTATCACACGCAACCTTAGTCGTAATAATATTTTTCAATTCAATTCACTGTTGTAAAAATTGTAACCAACGTGGGCTTCGAATCAATTATCTTTTATCACACATGAGCACGTTTCATTACTGACAGCACTATTCACAAAAGTTCAAACACTGAAATGAGAAATAAACAAAAAAATATAACCAATAGAGTGCGCTTAAAGCCCGAATACATAAAAATTGTGGAAATTTTACGACATAATATTGACTTTACCGCTTCACTATAGGTTCAGTCGCCACAGGAAAGTACTAAAGATTTGAAAGTATCAAATTCTATAGTTTGGCATATTGTTCCCATCTCATTCTCATTACACTTTAAATACAGTGCTCATATCGGAACACATGGTAGAAGCTGTTCGAGTATGCCACTTTATATTTTTCTGCGTGGGATGGGTTTTGAATAACTATGGTGATTGTGCTGTTCAACAGACTAGAGAAGTTCTATCTCAACATATTTTGTGTACAAAAATACTTTCACGTCATCATATTTATTATTCAAACTGGCAACAACAAAAAAACGGTACACCCGACCTATGTGAACCAAGATGGCGGACATCGGGACGTAGTATGTGTACCAGGTTAGGCTATAATTTCAGGTACAAATACTGCGGGAGTCACTTGGCTAGTCTCCTAACTCGTAATAGAAGTAAAATAAAGAAACTAAAATTATGGCCGAACCCTAACCTGGTACACAAACTAGGTTACGTTCCGGTCTCCGCCATATTGGTACGCATACTTTGGGAGTACCCAAAAAACCGCGGTTAGATGGAGTTTCTAGTGTTTGTCTTAGTTTCAATTTACATTCCACTCTACCGTCTTCAAGGTGGTGGAAATTCCTGAAACTATTGTTTGTAATCAGCCCGTCGTTGGTTTCCCAGGGACTAGGCAAATAATCACGACTTGAAGATACAAATTATATCGTTGATATGTAATGTTTAACTAATTAATATTTCAGGTGTAATGGATCCTCCGACCGTAACAAACATTAAGGAAACTACTTTTGATGTCTCTTTCTCAAATGTCATAGACGTCGTTGCATATTATATTACTGTGGCACCACGTCATGCTTCATCTGCACCACGAACTTTTAAAGCCAACACGGCTGGATCTGTTTTAGTTGAGGTTGGTTTTTGTGATGTTTCTAAATACTTATCTGAATTATTTTCTGTTTCGAAATTCCAAATCAAATTTTCTGGAAACAATGCTTCATTATTTTACATCATTTGATTCGATAATTATTTATAAAGTTTTCGATACTTTACAGGGGTGGGCAAGGCTTTTGTACCAAGGGCCACAAATTTTGCTACCTGGACTAGCGGGCCATGTAAGTGTGAGGTGAAAGTTACATTCTATGAACAATATTTACAGTGTTGCAAAAGTAAATGCGAAAACAATAACCCTTGAGTCAAAAATAAATTTAATCGCAATCTTAACAAATAGCTTGAGCAATTTTTCCGCTAAAACATTTTTAGTTGGATTGTGGCAGCATCCGGCGGGCCAGATTGAAATACCCAACGTGCCGGATTTGGCCCACGTGTCGTAGTTTGCTCATGTCAGATTTATAACAAGTAAGCAACCCGTTAATCCTGGAACGTTTTCACGAACTGGATTGACTTCACATTTTTATTTCAGAATCTAGTTGGAAATACGATATACTATGTAAGTGTCAAAGGCGAAAATGCTACAGGTGAAATTGGACCGGACAGTAACGCAACTTCAGCACATACACGTAAAGAATATTTTTTTAATGATAGAAGCATTATCGAACGACCAAATGTCGGTATCCCTCGGTAAATTTGCACAATCGCAAAGCATAATACTTTCAGCTTTTGATTGCTTATAGTTTTAACTGATGCTTAGCATCGTTTATTATACACGTTTATATTATTTTATTCTGAATTAGTAACCAAATCCATTTTCTCCTATGGTTATATTTGCTTGTGTCATATTTTAACACTATAGAACTAATGGACCGACCATTTGAAAAATAGTGTGTTAGTTGAAGCAAAACTTACTGTTTTTTCGATCATTTATATACGATTTCAACGTTTTATGGAAAAATTGATTTCTGTTATGATAGAGATTCACCTAAAACTAAATGGACTGGAAGTTTATATTAAACCACAATAATCGATTGTGATAATTTATATCTATTGAGTAACTCATATTGCATTTAAAATTACTTGTCAGTCATAGAACACCAAATATAATTCGATATCAAGGTATGTATTGTTGCTGAGTTTGGTTATATAATAATATATAATAGTATATATTATATAATAATTCTTTTGTTCGAGATATATCGAAAGTCCGAAAATAATTTATACTAAAAAGTTTGATAACCCGAAATAAATTGTTGACGGATCAAGACGTGCATTAAACTTTATACTCAAAATAAATACCGCTATTATATCGTCATCAAGCGAATTGTAGTTTTGTCGCTTCTAATTTTGAAGTTCAGAAATATTAAGTGCTTAGTGTTTTAGACTGCATTGAAATAACTGGTATATTCTATTTTATTCAATTTAGTTTAAATCTGTAATATAAAAAAATAAATTGGTGATTTGCATTACTTTCTCAATCTTCATCATAAGTTCTATGAAAAAAAGAAATTAGCAGAAAATTCGATGGGATGCGCAGCAGGAGACACGCGTGCCACAAACCGGCCCGCCAAACCATTAAACGTGGCCCTCATCAACACTCACCAAGCCTAAAATCCCAATCCGACAGTTTATGTTTTGTAAAAATACATGTTTTTTTGCTCTCTTCCCTTAGTTAAACCTTGCGCGATTTGCCCGATACCGTTATTACTGTTAGGCTAAGCGATAGCCGCATTCTCTTTTCTCGCTTTTTCAGCGATGCTCTGGTTGTTGCCAATGTATATCGCTGTTGCAGGCTTTCATAACGCTCGTTTTAAATATTATATTGTGAAGCAATAATACGTGAGAACTGATTTTTTTGTGTGGCCCAGCTAAATGTCATAGGTTTGTTATATCGCCACCGAAAAAAAAAGTGTTGCACAGCCAACCCCTGTTCTAGATCTCTAAAGCTGTTTTATATGCTACAGTGCCAGGACCTCCAACGTTCACACTGAGTGATCCGTTACCTACATCAGTATATATCGCATTTCAATTGAAGAATTATGCAAGAGTGTCGGAGTGGACAATTCAATATCAAGAAGTGACTTCTAGTGATCCATCAGTTATAACAACGCCTAGAGGTCAATATTATCAGTACTGGTAAGTTGTTAGAAAGATAAATAAAACATTAAAATATTTGGACTATTTAAAGTTTGGAACTAGATGACATTAGATAGAAATTCAAATTTTTATTTAGTCGTGCACGTTTCTGACTAAGTGTCTGGCGCAATGGAGGAATATAGTCGTTGACCTCTTTGAAAAGCATGTTCGAGCCTATGAGTGTATTTACTTTAGAGTTCAATTCAAATCGAAAACTGCATTGTATAAAGATAATCCGAAAATCTCGATAATTTTTTTTTAGTGGTGATATTGCTCATAATCTACGTTATTATTTAAATTTTTTTTGCAAAGCAAGTCTTATCGATTGTATGTTATAAATGCATTGAATATTCATTGCAATTTCAAGTAAGCTAGCTAATATGTTATACCTTTGCAGGTTGTCTAAACTGATACCGGACACTTATTACAAAATACGAGCAAGGGCTTCACAGTTGTATGGCAGCACTAATATATCGGATACTCGGTATTCTTCGTGGCAGAATTTTAAAACAGGTTGTCATTCGCTGTATTTTTATACATCAGGTTATTGTACTTTTAGTGGTCGCCCCGTATCTTCGCTCAGTGATGAGTAAGTGCGCGTAACCTTGCATTTAGCAAATTCCTTATAAAACCACCTCCCACTTCTACTTGTGTTGCAAATATTGGCGCTCCCGTAGTAAGTGAACCAAGATGGCGGACACCTGAACATAGTATTTGTACCAGGTTAGGGTTAGGCCATAATTTTCTTCCAATTTTCCATTTGAATGATGAAAATCAAACTCGTATATTTTTCAGCTTCTCTTTCAATATTTGGTCGAGTAGACCTTGTAAACGAGACTTACAGTCTTTCATATTCGAGCGAATTCAGCGAGGAATGGAATGCGACTCTTTCACTGATAACAGAAGCATATAGTGCAATGAATATAACTTACAATGAATTAACGATTATTGAAATTGAAAACGATGCCGAAATTCCTCTTATATTTTACGAAATGAAAGTCAAAGATAAAAGCTTGCCTTCACCAGTCAATTATAAGTTGACCGGAGAAAGTTTCAACAACTCATTTATCAACAATGGAGGTAGGTAAAAGTCGAGTCAGCACACTTTGTTTTAAGTTCAAAGGTTAAATCAACGGTCTTTCAAGTATACCAATTGCTATTTTACGCATAAAAATCTACTTCCCAGTGCCAACTGGAAAATATGAACTATATAGACGAGTACTTTCAATTTCAGATACGATCTGTATTTTAAGACTACAGTTATCTTGCGAAGAGAAATAGGCGCAAAGTGTTTAAATCTTTGATTATTGAAACAGTCATTGCCAATGGTGAAATATCTGTTTTCTTATTCACATATTTGAAAACATTATCCTATTATAAAAAAGATATGCGTACTCATCTGAAATTTCCCATACATCTCCCTCATATCTGTTATTGGACACGTTAATGGACCTATGGATCGTTTCAATATTATATTATTATTGTTCTTGTTCTTTGACACGTTATGAAAAAGTCGCTTTTCTCTTCGAATACTGGACCAATTGCTTTGAAATTTTCAGTGGTTAAAAATTTATCATTTCGCCAGAAGACTATTACTTTTACTTATTTAAAATTTCTGTGGACTCCAATATGTTCGTTTTTTAGGTATCAGAATAAAATATAGCGACACTTTGTGATGTGTCCATATATTTGAGCATAGCTCTCTTGTTTTATGTCATACAATTGAGCAAAAACGTATAAGAAGTTTTCCTCAGTCTTAAAATAATACGATTATTTATATATATTTTGTTACAGATGAATGCGTGGGAACCCCGCGTATATATGTGGAAATAATGGGACACGGTACTACTGAATACACCTTTGCATACCATTTCAACTCCTCATATCCGGTAACCCGGGATAACGTTGACATCCACATGTACATAACACAGGAAGATAGATCGACCATTACAATTCCAGTAATATATGCAGGAGAAATGTTTGATGATGGTCCTCAAACTTCAATAAACATACAAGCGAACGGAGGTAAATTCCACATTTTATTTCTGTAAACTGGAAAGCTTGGCTTGAAATTATGGCTGCTTGTTGAACCGCTTTTAACAGAGCTTCCTGCAATTAGCGATCAGTTAACATAGAAACATATAGAGTAATGACGTCGGAACTGGGCACAAATAGTAAATAATGATCTACCTACACTCATTTTCTTATATGTACGCAGAAATAGTAACGGCGCAAAATGCAAATCTTTCATTGAATTCTCGTATCTATCCATTCTCGAGGCATAACGCACACCAGTGGATGCCAATAAAATATATGCGCCAAGATAATGATTCTACTTAATAGACGAATTTTATTGTAGAATTGATTAGTTGGTCAACTATAACTTCGATAGAACCATTTTAAGTTAGAAGTTTTTCTGATCTGTGAACGAAGGAAATTGCCTCTAAATTAGGCGTGTGTGTTCATTGTTATAGCTTCAAATTTTTAATGTAACTGCTACCTTTTTCAAACAGACTTTACTCGTTTACTGCAATAGTATAAGGTGACTTTTTATAAATTGAATTGTTCGTTATAGCAGAGATTGATGACAGTTTCTTCATTTTTTATTCAATTATATTTTAGTCATAACGCCTGGTTCTTCTAATGACGAAATTGCAACGTTGAACTTGAACACCGTGGCTGGACTTACTCCAGGATTTCTTATAAAAGACGTTCTAAAGGGAAGTGGTGTAAAGCTGTATACAAGATATTTTAGTGCTCAAAATTTATCCTCAACTGCAAACACGGTTGATCATCTATTTCATTCTACAGGTAACCACATGCTTGTAGCTGCATGAAAATATTTAAAATACGATTATGGATATAATACCTATCTCCAAATCAGAAATAAAACGTATTTAAATTTAGTTATTATTGTCCTCGCTCTTTGCAGTTGATTATTCTTGTTTTAAGGATACTTTTAGGCTTTAGCGAGAAAATAAAAACTATACAAAAAATATTCAAAACTAAAAAAGAGGGATAATATTTTATAGAGGAATTTTGCGTTTATTTCGTGAAAATACCTGGTTCAGTATACATTTAGTATTTCAATATTTTTTTAGGTAAAGTTACGCGTTTCACGTCAAATAGCTGCATTTAGTCTTTATTATTAGGGCGAGATTGTTTCACATGAGATTCTTTGTAAATTGTTTGAAAGCAAGGTCACAAGCTTCCATCAAAGGGTTAAAAAAGGGTGTGTATCTGTTATGTGATAATAAAAGCAGCACGCACCAACATAAAACTAATATTAAAATAAATCTCAATTAAATATGAAACCAACCCTGGACACAAGAATATTAATTTGCTTGCAGAATTGAATGCCAGCGTTGTGAATGAAACTGCAGAAGCTATAACGTATACTTCATCATCTGACGGAACATCTGTGACGTTGAATATACCTTCTCTAGAAAAGACGATTAGATATGAAATATTAGATGATAGTGGCACGGTGGTTGCTACATTGGAAGAAGAAGATATCGATGGATCAGATATTTTAAAAGTGAGGCCAGGAAATGTCATACGATTCTGTATCTTTCTCTCTCTCTTGGGGGGTAGGGCCCGATTTAAAGGATAAAACGCACGTTCCTCCCCACGATACGCCAGTGTCTTTTCACTTCCAAACAACTTAACATATTTAATATTTTACCTTTCTAAACGAGAAATTCTCGGAACAAGAATTATTAACCTGAAAAAAGAAAAGCAATATCGGTCAAAAACTTTTCTAATGGGTTAAATTCTAGGGTATGATTTTGGAATCGGAATCAAATTAATGCATTGCATATAGCGCAAATCTGGCTTTGTCTGGAGATATGGCTCGTTAGACCTTGATGTTTTGTGATAATCGATTGAAAAAGCTTGTTTTGAATGTTAAAGTATAATTTTGTCGTTATTGCTTACAATGATGATACGGGGCACTTTTAAAAGTGAAATTTATGATTTTTCAATCTCAATCCTTGTGCTAGACTCTCAGAGCACGTACGATGGGTAAGACAAAATATTGTTATAGTGAAAACAGGAAATATTGAATTTATTCTCAAATTGTAGATACCCATCGCCTCCATGACAAATGGTACGGAAGTGACCCTCGAGCTAAATATAATGACACGACTTCAAGACGATCAAACTGCTTTGGCAACTTCATCATATGAAATACGTGTAACACCAAGTTAGTACACCGAGTCACTATTATGTTTCATCATTCACTATCCTTGTATATATGTAATAAAAATCAGGAACAAATATTCCGATCAATACAATGTACGATATAAATAGTCTATATATCAATGAGTGAAAATGCTCACGCGCGCTTTTGTGACGTTGGAATAATATTATTTTCAATATTTTCTGTTGCCATAAACAGACGCTCTATATCTATTCTAATGAAGATATAATTTTCAGACTCCGATCAATGCTCCAAATGTTCAACAAACGCAAGTTGCGTGGGCTTGACTGATAGATCAGGTGATGTAATATGTATGTGCAGCGATGGCTTTGAAGGTAATGGTACGACATGCGACTTCATAACAACAACAACTGCGGCTACAACAGGTAAAGCGGATATCAATTTTACGCCAAAAGATACCGCAGAAAAATTAAAGATTTGGGATTGTGTTTCTAATTTGATAAAACACAGCAAAGTTGTAAGAAGACTTGAGTAACGAACAAGCGCTGACATTGTTACGTGCGATTCGTCAACTGTTTCTATAACGCACTGACAAGTGGACAACGAGCGAGTGCTATTTATTTGTTCATGAGCAGATTGGTCCTACGCGTTGTAGCGAAACGTTCGAGTAGGGTCAAATGCAATATAAAGGGTGTAAAAACAGTAACTCAAAATTACCAGAAGTTAAGATGATATGCTACTTAAAACATTTAACGACTGATACCTTTTAACATTATTGAATTACGGTGAAGTGCCATTTGAACATTTCACGTCTGACGCTTTTAAACAGTTACTTTTTAACGTTGCCATGACGAAAAATTTAACCTTAATTTTGCGCAACTTTCCACCGTGTAGATCGCCACTACAATAGTTGGCTTTATGAACACTTTACTTTTGACTGTGGTCGAAGGCGATATCCGATCGATATGATCTCCGTGGTGCGGTTTCACGAATGAGGCCAGTCTGTTAACCGCCAGAAGGTTCCGTGTGTGCTGCTAAGCCACACAATTGCTTTGATAGTCGAATGACGTAAGTAAAAAACTTTATTGGACACGTTTAGTGGACATAACGATCGTTTCAATATTATGTTGTTATTGTTGGACACGTTTAGTGGACATAACGATCGTTTCAATATTATGTTGTTATTGTTATTTGTCTCCATCATGTTTAAAAAAATCGCTTTTCTCGTCGAATACTGGACCAATTGCTTTGAAATTTTCAGTGGTTAAAGATAAAATTTTTCTCCAGGAGGCTATTACTTTTTTTTCCGCTATTAAAATTATTGCCATGAGTGGCGCTACGTGTCCATATATTTGAGCATAGCTCTCTTGTTATTCAAAAGAAACGCACGAATTGTACGTATAAAATACAGAGCAACGAAATACGTCCGACCTTTACAGCAGTCAGATGGAAGAAGATGACGACATGTTGAAGCGGGCTCGTGTGGACAGAGGGGAGAGTAGTATAATCTACTCCATTTAGAAATATACCAGTCGAGACCATGGCAAAAAATCCGATCACACACAACTGTACACGACCCTGAGATAATATAGACAAATAAAACAGCAAAAAGCCAAACATCAGTTTCGTCAAAATTATATGTGCATATCTTTAATTGGCGTTCTATTATTAACGCAGACTTCCCCCCCATACTTCAGAATATAATTATAATCAAAAACGGACCTAAACCTTGACTTAAAACAATCCCTCAGCATTCAGATATCATCTACAATTTGAAAAAAAAAGCGAATATTGGGACTACGTATGTCGTATACCAATTGTATTTTCGATTTCAAACATAAAATACTGTCATTGAAACGTAAAACAGTTTTCCGTGTTATATCAGCATATAGTCGTATAGACAAAACTTGAATGAATTCAAGTCAGCGCCGCAATAAGAAAAGAGCTAGGTAGGTCGGAATTCTACAATTCCTGGAAATTATGTGGGAAAATATTTTCATAGAAATTTTATTGACAAGCGAAAGCTTCAACAAGCCTAATACAGTGTAATGAGAATGATTGAGTATTCTGGGTCTAGTCAACCCACCTTTGGAGATGAAAGTCCAGTCTAGTAGATGCCGCTGTTTTATTCCAAGCTAAGCCACATTGCGTCATGAAGAGGCTTTTACCAGTCTGCACTGCTTTCTTCTTACAAATACGTATTTAGCATTCGGTGGAGCAGGTCAAAATAGTAACAGCAGCATCAGTTCAGAACTCCAAATGTGCGATGCGAAGAAGTATCGTTACATCACATTTGATATTGACCAAGTCACTAATGTTATGGAAGTGACAAGAAGGAAGTCGATGCTTGGTCAGCGCCTTCGACGAGGACACTATCGTATTATTACCGCACAATGGTATTCAACAAATACGAGAGATGATGACATTTGGGTCGTAATCAATGCGCTGTGCGTTATTTTCAATGAAAACCCAAATCAGCGATCGTTTGATTCGGAGTTTTAACGTTTTATTTTTGATTACGGTTTGATGATTCACTATTGCGATCAATCGTATGGATGTTCTTAATTCTCCTGGTCACTTCTGACATTTTGCTATTAGTTAATGTTAGAGAAGTTAGAAAAGAAACGATTCATTTTAACACAAATATTAATTCAAGATAGTCTTATTAATTTACTATACTTTTATTTTTATTTTATACCGCAGCTGCAACTACAGAGTCGGATACAACTACAGCTGCAACTTCCCAACCATCCACTACCGTTGCTGAACCAACCACAGCTGCAACTTCCCAACCATCCACTACTATTGCTGAACCAACTACAGTTGCAACTACCCAACCATCCATTGCCATTACTGAGCCAACCACAGCTGCAACTCCCCAACCATCCACTACCATTGCTGAACCAACCACAGCTGCAACTTCCCAACCATCCACTACCATTGCTGAACCAACCACAGCTGCAACTTCCCAACCATCCACTACCATTGCTGAACCAACCACAGCTGCAACTTCCCAACCATCCACTACCATTGCTGAACCAACCACAGCTGCAACTTCCCAACCATCCACTACCATTGCTGAACCAACCACAGCTGCAACTTCCCAACCATCCACTACCATTGCTGAACCAACTACAGCTGCAACTTCCCAACCATCCACTACCATTGCTGAACCAACCACAGCTGCAACTTCCCAACCATCCCCTACCATTGCTGAACCAACCACAGCTGCAACTTCCCAACCATCTACTACCATTACTGAACCAACCACAACTGAAACTCCCCAACCACCCACTACCATTACTGAACCAACCACAGCTGAAACTCCCCAACCATCCACTACCATTACTGAACCAACAACAGCTGCTACTTTCCAACCATCCACTACCAGTTCCGAACCAAGCACAGCTGAAACTTCCCAGCCATCCACTACCATTGCCGAACCAACCACAGCTGCAACTTCCCAACCACCCACTACCATCACTGAACCAACAACAGCTGCTACTTCCCAATCATCCACTACCAGTTTTGAACCAACCACGGCTGTAACTTCCCAACCATCCACCGCCAGTTCCGAACCAAGCACAGCTGAAACTTCCCAGCCATCTACTACCATCACTGAACCAACCACGGCTATAACTTCCCAACCATGCACCGCCATCACTGAAGCAACCCCAACAACAGCTAAACCAGCAACAGACTCAATAGTCTCTACTACTGTATCAGAAAGTAGCACTACGACTATCAATTCCCAACCAGGTTGTTCACATTTTGTAATTTTTACCATAAAATGGACTATATGAAATCAAGTGATATCCATTCTCTAACGCACACGATTTGATGACTGTCTCAATTTTATTTACTTGCTCTCTGCCATTTCATTATTATTGGAAAGATTACTGTGCTTTCAACGATGTTATTATATATCTTTATGAGATGTCTATTTTACTTCGCGGTCGGAGCCAAAAATAAAAAGCAACTGATGAAAACTGATATTTATATAACACAGATCATCATGGTTCGATATCGCCTTCCCAATTTATTTCACCCTCGGTGAAGCACTAAGCGAAATATTTCACCATTGATGCTTTATGACCATTTTCTCTCTAGAGATTAACTAGCGAAAGCATAAACAAAATGTACACAAAGATCGAGTAAATAAGCAAAACCCATTTTTAACCTAAAATTTAAAAAGGTTATTATAACATTTATGTCGATTTACTTCTAATAGCAACCATACTGTACGAAAACCAATCATTATATAGAAGCGAGAATTCGTTTTGTTATTCCAATTCTTGTTTTTCAGTTTTACCTGTCTGGGGATTAATTCTTATTATCGTAATTGGAATCGGGTTACTTGGAGTTCCAATTTATTTTATAGCCAGGTATGTTGCTCTTTCTTTTTTACTCAATCATGTCGAGTGCTGTTCTGGAATTTGGAAAAAATCAAATGTTGAGCCTTACCGTAGTAGGAAGAATTAGCCGCTTATACAGCTGAAAAAATGGGCTGTTGTCGACATAGCTGCTGTGCATATAGAGCCAGGAAGTTCTAACATTGTTACCTAAAGCATCTGAATGAAATGGTAGAACAACTTTATTGTATGTTTTCTTTATGTGTGCCTTACAAGTTTTTTAACTTTTCAGACATTTCGATAATAAACAGAACGATCAGGAAAAACCAAGCGTGGAAATGTGGAATGTCAATGGCAACCATAACAGGTAAAAAAAGATCCGCAAAATCTGAGAAAAATATTAGGCACTACTTTCAATTGAATTCATTTTGTAAAACGATATATACAATACACTCAATCCCAACGGTTGATCCAACAGGGTGATTAGATCTGATGTGAGGTCGCCTCCATAATACGTTTTTTTAGGCGACTCCAGTCTCTTCGATTGCCAGTTGCTCTCCTCGTGTGCCTCTCTATACATTTTAGTTCGGAGTGCGCACAAACCCTAAAATTAAACATAACAAAAAATTACATATTCATATAGTGCTCATGTTTCAGTTTCTGATAACACAGAGAGGGTATCAAATTTTTTGTTAATTTTTTTTCAAGTCCATGCTTCCGAAAAAACAAATAACTAACTAATCCCATACCCGACATGGAATGGTAACCGGACGAGAGGCCGTGGTTCGCCATATGACTAAGCCGCCTATCGGCTTTCCTCTCTCTCGGGATAAATGTGTAAATCCTTATCCTTTTCAGGCAAGAGAATCCTTATGAGGAAATTAATTGACGTATAACTACAATAAACAAAGAGAGATGTACGAGGAAAGAAGCCGTGGAAGTGGCGATTAATGATGACAAATATTTGACTTTGCTACAGCATCGTAATCATTACGGATAAGACGTAATTTAAATAAAAATTCGTTACAGACAGAAAAATATAATCAACAAAATCAAAAAGATACCTCAACTGGAAAGGATTTATATTCCTGGAACAACATTATTACTCGATAAAAGACGCTATTTTGAAGACTTATTTATATTTTATGAATAGTTCTATTTTGTAAAACGTATTACTTTATTTGTTGTCAAGACTGTGGACTATGAGTAGCAATTCAAACTGGCTAGAGTCTGACGGGTAACCGTGACGACAGTCGAAATCTCACAATAACAAAAATTCCCCTTACATGATATTGTTTAAATTTTCACGGAAAATTGTATTCTTCGCACACGTTGGCGACTAATATCAGCATAATAATAAAACTATATAAAGGGTGACCCAACAAAGTGCCCAGATAAATTGGGAATTTTCCATAGAGAACGTAACTTCGTGAAAAGCGAGTTAGATTACCCAAACTCTTGAGTAAATAGTACACAAACAGAGGTTAAAGTGCTAAATAAACATTCTTCATTTGCGTTAAAATATTTAGGGAATTATTGAGATTTTTTTTTTTCGGGGGGGGGGGGGGGGGCGTTTATATATATATACTCTGTATATATACATGGACGGTACAATCACATGAGATTATTTGTGTTCCAATTTAAATTTATGGTACTCCCGAAGTATGTGAGCCAAGATGGCGCACATCTGAACGTAGTATGTGTACCATGTTAGGGTTAAGCCATAATTTTGTTCCAATTTTCCTTATTTTATTTCTACTACGAGTTCGGGGACTGGCCAAGTGACTCCCGTAGTATTTGTACTTGAAATTATGACCTAACCCTAACCTGGTGCACATATTACCTCCCGGTGTCCGCCATCTTGGTTCACATACTTCGAGCGTATCAAATTTCGTTTATTAAATCAATTATATGCAAGTAGTTATGCACGTATGACGTTGATGCACTTCTGATCTTTAGAATATTTCCATGTTTGTGGTAATCACGAAACTTAAATAAATTGCTTAAAAGCTGTAACTCGTGTAAAGAAGAGGATCCATATCTAGGGCTGGGCATTTCGAATCGAATATTCGAATCGAATAGTAAATTATTCGAATTGGTTCAGAGCTAAACTTCGAATCGCCGCCATCTTGTTTTTATCTTTCCGCTAATGGTTGAGATGAATTCCCCAAGTTTTTTTTATTGGAATCATATTTTTTCAACGAAATTCTAACTTATGACTATTTCCTGTAGTGAGTTATTCTGTGTGAACGATCAGTAATCTATCTGAGTGATTTATTCTATGTCTTCAGTATTTCATTTGTTGAGAGGACCAATTACTATAATAAAGTCGCTTACAATTATATATTTTCAAGTATTCGAGATTCGATTCGATTCGAAAAAATTATTCGATTCGATTCTGAAATCACAAGGTATTCGAAAAAGCCCAGCCCTATCCATATCTTGAGAGATTTGGTATTCAACAAAATTAATACAAAATTTCGTTTTTGTTAATGCCAAGTCCCAAATATATCACATAAAAGAAATAGACCTATAAAAGCAGATACAGTATAAACCAATTATTGTTCTTTTACTGCAATAAATAGCTTACATTACTTTTGATGGCTGAACTTCTTATTTACAAGAATTTGTTTTGAAATTATGATTGAAAATGAAAATTAGACATTTGAGCTATTGAGTGTGAAGCTTAAAAATTTTTCTTCTCTCAAACCCAGCAATCTCGCTCGTTTGAAGCAACAATATAAATCACTTTAAATCAAATTATTCATACAGTATACTTAATATTTAACAGATGGGATCCTGAATTACGTATCACACCAGAAGAAGCACTTCGTCATCCTTTTATAACCGGACAATCGTCTGAGAATGAACTTGAGGAATACCCAATACTCATCCAACGATTTATAGGAAAAATATAACGTCAGAATATTCCAGTAAGAAGAGATGACAATACTCTAGCGCGTATAGTTGGAGTAACAAGAGTCGTTCCTGAAAGCGTCGTTTTCCTGTAAATGGTCGAATGCATCACGGGGAAGTAAAGGGACGTATCATAATTATTGAATTCACCACAAACACTGCAAGCATGATTAAAATAAGATGTTGGGACAATAGGATTCTTATGTTTGTTCTATACTTTGTATAAATTACATTGTTACAAAGAGACATAAATTTTACGAGAAGGCATGGAAGATTGCCTTATCTCCTGGGTCAGATCTGTATTTAACATCGTCCAATGCCATCGCCACATGGTGATCTTTAGCTAAGATTTCCACCAATTAGTCCTCAGTTCCACCAATCAGTTTTTGTGTGAAAAATCGACTTTGTTATTTTTTACTTATGCAAATTAACGTAGTGAAATTGTAAACGAACGAACACCGACAATTGCAAGTGTCGTTATGTAAAATCTACTGTGCAGATACTGCTAATGATTGAAACCCAATTCAAATTTTTCTTATTTTTATCCGGTAAAGGTTAAAAGCGGAAACATTGCATGTTGTTATTATGTCAAAATATTCATTATTTATGCTTATTAGTTGATTTTTAATTTGCAATTCACTGAATATATGAACATTTCGATACAATTTTTTGTCCACCCGTGGTTACCAAGTGGGGCACAATGTTATATATAAATATGAATACTCCCGAAGTATGTGAACAAAGGTGGTGGACACCGGGACGTAGTATGTGTACCAGGTTAAGGTTAGGCTATAATTTTATTCAATTTTCCTTATTTTAGTTCTATTACGAGTTCGGGGACTAGCCAAGCGACTCCCGTAGTATTTGTACCTGAAATTATGGCCTACCCTAACCTGGTACGCATAATACGTTCCGCTGTCCGCCATCTCGGTTCACATACTTCGAAAGTACCTAAATATGTACTTGAATTTAATATTCCATAATATTCATTATTCTCCAAAATCAATAGATCAAATACGTTGAGCTTAATTTTTTTTTTACATTTTTTTAAAGAAGTCTATTTCTGTTTGTACCTATTTATTATATTGTTTTGTCCATCATTTTACACCGTGTGTTTGTGCGTGTGTGAAATTTCTATCTTCAATTGTTGGATTGTTTTCAATGTAATTAGGCTTCCCGCTGCTTGTCAGCAGGGAACCTATTGTATTCCTGTGTTTTATTATTATTATTATTATTATTATTTATTTATTTATTTATTTTTATTATTTTTTTTTCAAATTGGTCCTACAAACTTGAAATTCACCTCAAATGTGCAGAAGTTCTCAGCTAGCAATGAAATGCAAATTTTATGCATGACTGACCATGCTTTCACGCTCCAGTGAGCAAAACGCGTTTTCAGTTTTTTTGCGATTTCTCAAAATTGATAATACGCTCCAGTGAGCAATATAGGATTTTACATTTTCATCTTCTTCTCGAGAACGACACTACTCAGAGACTTGAAATTTACATCACATGCAGATAATAAGTCCCCCATGATAAATTGCAAATTTTATGCATGACTGACCACGTTTTCATGCTCGAGTGAGCAAAAGGCGTTTTCAGTTTTTTTGCTATTTCTCAAAATAGATACATGCTATTGGGTTGAAATTCATAACAATGATTAATGAACATGTTCCGGATACGACCTGTCAAGGATACGCATGAGTGACCTCGGCAATACGCTCCAGTGAGCAATATAGGATTTTACATTTCCATCTTCTTCTCGAGAACGACACTACTTAGAGACTTGAAATTTAAATCACATGCAGATAATGAGTCCCCCATCATAAATTCCAAATTTTATGCATGACTGACCAAGCTTTCACGCTCCAGTGAACAAAACGCGTTTTCAGTTTTTTTGCGATTTCTCAAAATTGATACATGCTATTGGGTTGAAATTCATAACAATGATTAATGGACATGTTCCGGATACGACATATCAAGGATGCACATGAGTGACCTCGGCGATACGCTCCAGTGAGCAATATAGGATTTTACATTTTCATCTTCTTCTCGAGAACGACACTACTTAGAGACTTGAAATTTACATCACATGCAGATAATAAGTCCCCCATCGTAAACTGCAAATACCATGCATGACTGACCACGCTTTCACGCTCCAGTGAGCAAAACGCGTCTTCAGTTTTTTTTACGCGGGAAGCCTGTTAAAGCTGCACGCAGCTCTAGTTGGAATTGCACCTAGGCATATAGAGTTTCGTGGGTTCTGATAATTTAAACACTTGATTGCATGAAAAAGGCGGGAAACAAAAAAATGGCTAATTTTTGACTGTGAATTGATATGACAACGAGTATTTGTATGTGGAACAATCGGCAAGTAGCAGACTTTTAACACTGGGTTGAAAATAATAATATCCGACAATATAATGTTATAAATACGCGAGCTTTGTTGTTGTCGCCAATCTTAATCGACTATATCAGACAGGGGTGGCCAATCTTTTTTGACCGCGATCGACTAAAATTTTCGAAATAGCTCGCGATCGACTGATCGGTGATACACATAAACGAATGAATGCTGAATATGCAGATAACTACACCAGCGCATACAAAATTCGGTACCTTCGAAGTATGTGAACCAAGATGGCGGACACCGGAACGTAGTATGTGCACCAGGTTAGGGTTAGGCTATAATTTCAGGTACAAATACTACGGGAGTCACTTGGCTAGTCCCCGAATTCGTAATAGAACTAAAATAAGGAAAATTGGAATAAAATTATGGCCTAACCCTGACCGCGTACACAAACTACGCTCCGGTGTCCGCCATCTTGGTTCACATATTTCGAAAATACCCAAATGTCCACTGCTGCCAATAAGCTCGGTTCTGTGGGCGCATTTCTACAAAGAATATAAAAAAAAATTGTATTTTTTATGTTCCGTTTAATTTTATAGTATATGTATAGTACCCGGACTAAATTTAAATTCACAAGACATCTGACACGATCAACTACCCAAGACGCGGCTACGTGTTGGCCATCCCTGGACTATGTAAATGTTCCCAAACTTTAATTTAAATACCTCTCTTTGTCTATTTTGGAACTACTGTATTTATTCCTCCTTCCATATGCATAATATTACTTCCAAAGAATTTTTAGCTTGTGGAGCAAGTCGCACTCCCGTTTTTGAACAGTTTAAGGAGTTTATTATGTGTTCAGGTATTATAGCGATAATAAAAACCAAAGAATATAGTAATACTACAGTACAGTAATACTACGGCAAAATTCCTCCCGGTCAGGAAAGGTCGCTATATTATTCTACAATATGTTTGATACCATCAGTCGTGGCAATATTTTCAATCATCCATATACGTAATACTATTTATTTCGTCCAAAACAATTTTAGTTGACATTGTTAATAATATTTATATCGGGAGTGTTTTGATTATTTTATATTCGATACTTTGTTCAGAATTTCAGTTCCCCCGCCCGCAGTTTCGTTAAATATTTACTTTCGATAAGTTATGGTGATTTCCAAACAATGACGGATTTATAGTCATAGCTTATTCAGTTATCCGTGAGGCTAACTACTGTTGAACTAGACCCAGCTGTATTGCAATTGCAGTTAGCGAATGCATTTATCAGAAAATATGAAATTTTGTAATTGTTAGATGTGGATAATAATAATTTATGTATATATATATATATCATGAATTCATACTCTCTTGAGTATCTCGAAATCGCGTATTGTATGTATCGTTAAGTCAAGAATATTCTGAAAGTTGAGTACTTGTTTATTTGACTGTTTAGGTTAAAAGACGAAACCGTTCCATAAATCTAGACTTGGGTCGCTGTAATATTGAAAGTTAAAAACAAAATGGCGGGAACTGGTTTACTGAACTGAATTGCAGTTGTCTCAGAAAGGTAATTTCACAGCTGTGGATGGTCCGTTGAAGTTGAAATATAGGTTTGATGTGTTTTTCGCGAACGATCTTTATAAAAACTGCTCTAAATGTAAAACGCAGTTCATTGGTCGACTTCAAAAAACAGTAACTTGCCTTGTCTCGAGTGATTTCGATATATTCTTCCGTATTTCCACAAATAATATGATTTCCAAGAAATTGCTTTACCACGTTTTGGTTCATATTTGTTCAAGGATGATCAGTTAATACCTGTAGGTCACACCTATGCAAACTTTGTCTGCGTGACAGAACAAACAAAGGTTTCTAAAGCTGGTAAGGGTTAGGGTCAACATACACAGGGAAGCATGCTGAATAAGAGAATTATAATCGCATTGAGATCAATATCGTTATTTCTGAGTTAGACTGTAAGCGAAAGTGGCCTTAAATGAGAGTTTTAGTGGTAGCGCGTGGTTATTTAGGAAAGCATATTACTATACAGATCGACTGCGAAGAAAAATGGACGCTCCAAAAGTGTGTGTAGGCTACCAATGTACCAATATGGAGGTAACTAATTTTGTTCGGCTGCTTCACATCAAGTTGTATAAAGGGACGGAAGCCCATATTTACTTGGCTAACACAGACAGTCCCCGAACTCGTAATAGAACTAAAATAGTGAAATCGGAATAAAATTATGGCCTGGTACACACACTACGGGAGTACCGGAAAATGTGTGTCACGACGCCGAATGCGCGCGGCAGGTTGTTAATTAAGCTATAGGTTTAGATCAGTGATATCAACCAGGATTCTTCGGAACGCTAGGATCCAGGTGTTCCGCGTCAAATTGTTGTTTCACCACTGCTTTAGATTGATGGAAGCGGCAAAGTTTCATCTAGAAATACCGTACAAATTGTGACCTGGTATAACTATTATGGCAGTGGTTCCCAAACGGTAGGGCGCGCTCCACAATGGGAGCGTATACAATTTTTTGAGGGGACGTGAAGCTAAATAAATAAATATATTTGTTGGATTTGATCTTATCCGCCTATTTTGGGTATTTACACTCCTTTTTTTGTCAGCCAAGAACAACTGCACGAATAAAAATGCTTGTTTTAAAACATTTCATCAATTACGTTTTATCCACGTATTTTCAAGGTGTTTTTGAATAAAACATAATTTCGCCTTACTATCTGCTATTTGTAGCTCATCGTTAGCTATAGGTATTTTTGAGGTGTGACGCGAGACTTGCCACTTGATTAACCTTCCTTGTAGAAGTATACTTTTTTGGGCACCTATGTAATTAGCAATTAGGACATTGGTTGGGCATATTATTATTCAACTGTTCAAGTTCAACTGTTTTTCATAATTTATTCTGTACGGCAGTGTTCCCCAACCTATGACTCGTGACCCAAAGCGGGATCGCCTGAAAATCCTCTCGGGTTGCTTTGTTTTGAACAAAAAATTAAAAAGATATTCAGTTCATTTCCTAGTAGGTATATTTGTTTGTTTATTAAGTATTGAAGTGTTGCTCAGTAGTAATTGTATATGTGGGAAATATGAAAAGTAGAAATATTTATTTTACTTATAAAAAGGTGTCATGATACAAGAATTTTAATTGAATTGATACATATATCTATGAGACAGTGAACTGAACATACGATGTTTTTGACAATATACTATAAAATCGAAAAACTTTCGACGACCGAAAGAAGATAACAATAGTTTAACATCGTATTAAGAAGACAGGGGGCAAATTGTGAAAATTTATTACAGAAAATAAAAATAGTTCCACATCAAAGACAGGATTTCCTTACAGAAAGTTATAACAGTTCATTCAACAGATACAGTAATATTTGTCCTTTGCAGTCGCGAGTAATACTTAGTTATTGTACATAGACTGGACAACTTACATGTCTAACAGAACTA